ATATACCTCTTCCTTAGCATGGATAGGGTTGTTTAATTAAAACTTACATGTATTTAGTTAAATACAAAGACCAGCATCTGCTCAAATTAACTGCTTTTTTTTCTGAAAAGTTAAAAATAAAATTTTAGTAGGAAAAAAACAGAAATGTGAGACATAGTGATTTGTTGTTACCAGTTATGTTTCAACTTAAAACTCTTAACCCAACTTGAAAATACTTAGCTTCCAAGTATACTGATGTCAGAAGTGACATACTTATTCAGATTGCAAAGTCCTAATTTAAAAATCTATCATGTTTTTAATGGCTGACAAAATCCACCAGCAAATCTAAGCAGTGCTTAAACTCGATTTACTCTTTGTATTTAAGCCAAAGGAACAAATCTGAATATTAACCTGGGAAAAATGATAGTGTAGATACAAATAAAACAATTCTTAAATAACAGCTCTAATTTTTATTTAAAAATCACTCTTCTAACTTCACAATATCCCTTTGAAAAAAAAGATGGGGATTTTAATCACTTAGGATTTAAAAAAAAATAGGATTTAAAGCAAGATTAACTGTTGCTTTAAGTCTTGACATTTCCCTATTAATAACCCTAAAGCTTAATGAGGCACAACAGAGTTAAGAATTGAAATTTTTTTAATGAAAAGAAAATTAAGGACAGTTTGGTGCCATATACTATCATAAAAATAATCTGCTCCAGAAAGACTTTAGTCTCTACATGTAAAAAGCAATATCTAAAAAGGATGTCCTTGTAAAATCTTACTGTGAACTTTTAGAAGGTTAGGGCAGACTTTGATGAAGGTATAAAAGTCAGAAAGTACCTAAGGCTTACCAGTCTTTTAAAAACATATGAGGATATACAAAACATTGTTTTTCAAATTACACCTAGCATGTTTGTAACTTACCACCTATTAGTAATGACTGCAAGCCTCAAGTTAAGAAAAGCACAGAAATATACATAACTGTGTCTACTAAGTATAACAGTGAACACCAACTAAGTTAATTCTTCTTTTCACAAGAACTTATGTTTCAAAGGCACATGAAAATGAAATAAACACTGAGAATAAACACATGCTTTACACTTAAGATGACTGCTGAATCCTTGCCACATTCTAGAAAAAAGCTGCTTCTTTTTATGTACGTTTCATATGAATACAAACCTCTTTAAAATCTTTACCTAATAGGTGAAAAACATGTAAGGTTTATGAATCTTTTTTTCCAAGGTTTTCATGCAGGGTTGAAACCAGGACCTATGTGTTAAGTCTAAGAGCTCTGAATTTCTATGAACATTAAAATACTGTCCTAGATGCCCCATAACCCATACAAAGGTATTTAAATTAGAACAATGGGGTTATGCAATTAAGATGTGGACTAGAAAAACACAGGTTTCTAACATTAATTAACTAGGTCAACGGTAAAAGCAACATTGATCTTTTTTTCTTAACAATAAACCTATATAAGAATTTGAAAGTCACTTATATTATTTAAAAGAAAAGCTGTTCATAACTTTGTGATATATTTTATCCTTTGATCAGGTAAGCTGAATGCTCAAGTTCAGATTTTTAAATGTAAAAATGCTAATATCTTAAATTGAGAAAGACCAAAGAAAATCTTGATGTTGAACATAATATGCAAAATTGACTGGAATTATGTAAATCTAAGTAACAGAATAACTAACCTAGTAAAGAATTTCTCAAAGTAAAATAAGGAACATAGACACTTCAGGTAACAATTAAAGGCACAGAGTTCTTTGAATATTCAATTATATTTAGCTCATATAAAAAAAAGGATGCTCTGTATCTGCACTAATAACCTACACATTCTCTTTTTTCTAAAACTATGGGCTGCTTAGTCTGGGGGGGGAAAAAAAAAAAGCCCTAGACTGAATAGCAGCTGACTGCAGAGCGGCCACTTTCACCTTGCAGATAGAGCTTTGTTGTTCTGGCGTGTAAAGCAGACCATTAGCACAAAGTCATTTCTAATCTCAGTTGTACAATCCACATGGTGCACTTAACCCTAAAACTCACGTTGCATAAACTGCTCTGCTTCCACTCCTAATGACCTTTCAAATCGTTCAATGTTACTGCTTGACTTGTACTCATGAATTAGAGGACTGCCAAATAACTTGATGACAAAGTTGTAATTTCTCCTTTCCTGAAGGTTTAAAAAAGTCAACAACATTGGTATAGAAGAACCGGAGAGAGAACATACAATGAAAAAGAAAAGCACATTATTTAATGCTTATAAACGATATTTTTAGAAATGCTTAAGAAAAAAATAACAGAAAATTCACACCTGACTTCAAGGCAGATGACTAAAACAGAAAATGAGAGTGCTCCACTTGTAACACACATAGATTTCCCACAGTATTCATGACCAACAAATGTCTCTTCGTGTCCTAACTTCACTGCACAGTATTCAATTAAAATTCACTTTTAGATGAAAAAGTTTGTGAAAACCATCTGCTGCTGGATTCACTCTTGAGGATTTACTGTCTGTAAATAAGACGATCCAATGCTGTCCCAAAATTAATGCTTTTAAAGACTTTAAAAAAATGTGTATCTACGTCGTTAAAAAAAAAAAAAAGCCTAATGTATACAGGAGTCTTAAGTTTGTCTTGCCTTCCTCTTAACTTCAAACACTTTAGAAGCAGGACTTTTTAAATACTTTTTCCTGCAGCCTAACCTCTTTAATAAACCCCATTTTTAAAGAAGAAACAATAAATGAAGTGACAGGAGGTGAAAGAATGAGGAGTGTGCCTTGGGAGAATAAAGGGCGGTTTTATAACAGGAGGTACTTTTGTTAGCAAGTGACTGGCAGGTCTTTCTCCCCCAAGTTAGAAGGAATTCCATCCAAAACTGCAAAGGCCAAAAATGTCTAGTCTAACAGTTCTGAAATCCCCGAGTCCGGAGAGAGCCGAGTGGGGGATGGCGAGTGGGGGAAGGGGAGAAAACCAGTGGGAGACTAAAGAACAAAAGGAGAAATCTAAGAAAGGGGAAAGGAACGCCGGGACCCTGCAGGCCTGGGAGGCAGGGGTGGGGAGAGCCAGAAAGGGAGAGAGCACGACCCCGGGAGGAAAGCACGGAGCCGGGCAGGGCCAGGCGTGCCGCACCGTGGCGCACCATGGACAGGGCTCCAAGTGGGGCGGCCCACACCCGTCTAGGGTGTTTCGGGAGAAAACTGGAGAGACTGCGGGCGCCAGCCCCGTCCCGCCCCCACCGCACCCCCTCAACCCGCCAGGCCGGCTGAAGCGCACCAGACCCTGACCCGCGAAGACTACGGAGCGGGCCAATCCACACCACCTATCCCCACCCCCGGAGCAGAATATTGTGAGGACAGGAGAAGAAAAGGAGGCACTTCCGAGCACTGCGTCCGCACTTTCCGGGGCTGGCAGTAGAGCAACCCTCCCCGACCCGAGGGCGATTTGTAGGGGGCCCCCTCCGCAGATTTTCCTGCCCAGAGGCGAGGACGAGCACGCCCCTTTCCCGCAGCCTCCGAGGGACCCAGGGCAGGCGGAGACCGACTTGGGACCGCCCAGCTAGAGGGTCCCGGTCGAGGCTGCGCGAAGTGGCCTCCGGGCCACGGCTGGCTGGTCGGGAGAAGCCTGGGGGCACCCTGGGGCTGGAGGTGGTGGAAAGTTGGGCTGCGCCGGGCTGGGAACCAGCAGCGCGCAGCGGAGAGGGAACCTGCGCCGGGACTGGAGCAGGTGCTTCCTGCCGAGGAGGAGCCTCTTAATAGAGATTAAATGAAAAGACTCGCTGGCGCTCTCCCGAGGGTGTGAAAAGTACGGAAAGCTCCAGGTGAAGGCGCCCCCGGAGCACTGGCAGGGCAAAGGCAGCCGGACAGAGGGAGAGGAGCAGCCGGGTAACGGAACTTCTCGCCCGCGGGGATACTGGGCGTGAGAGGCTAGACTGGGTCCACTGAAGGCAGACGCGGGTCGACAGAGACTCCTCGGGGCAAGGCGGCCAGGTTTTCTTTCCATCGATAGGACGGACACAGAATATTGTGAGGGCAAGAGAAGAAAAGGAGGCAACTCCGGACTGGGATAAAGACAATAGGAGAGTGGAGCCCTAAGGCACCGGGAAGCGCACGGGTGCCAGGGTGGGGTAAGGTGGAGGCAAGTCTCGTAACTAAGACACCAGAGTGAGAATTCCTACTGTAAACTCGCGACCCATCCCTGCAAGGAAAAAAAAATTGGAGCAAAGTACCATGCGAGGGGCGAGAAGCACAAAAAACTGCAAAATCTGGGAGTTATCCTGCCTCACCCTTCTGCTGTCTGGGGACACCCCCCGCAAGCTTGCTCGGCCCGGGAGGAGCAGAGGGGGCCCACAAACGGCCTCCTAGAGCCCCACCAGGAGAGGCGCGAGAGACCTGCTGGCCCCGGCAGCCCTGCCCCGGCGCCTGGCCCGAGCCTGATGCCTGCGCAGCTCCCGGCCCCGCGGCGCGGCACCTCCCTTCCCGGGTGCGCAGCCCGGCCCCGCAGCGGCGCGGGGAACAAAGGGACCTGGCGCCGCCCGCCCCACCCCGCCCGTGGCCCGGCCCGCGGGGACCGCCGCTTACCTGAAGCAGGGCCGCCAGCAGCGGCAGCAGGGTCCGCGGCGCTCCCGCTATCCGGCACATGGAGGCGGAGAGGGGCCGAGCGAGGAGCCGGAGGCGGCGGAGGCAGCGGCAGCACCAACAGCGGCGCGGAGAAACCGCTCCAGGCAGTTTCCACCCCCTTCCCTTCCCCTCCCCTCCCCACCCCCTTCTCCGCTGCTCTGTGCTCCCCGCCAATGGAGAGCGAGCTGATGACAAATAGCGGGCCGCGGAGTCCGCGGGACTCGCACCAGGAGTAATAAAACAGACCCAGAGATCAAGGAGCTGGAGAGGGGGTGGGGGAGCGGGGCAGCGGGGCAGGCAAGCGTGTGAGTGTGAGCGTCTGTGAGTGTGTGTGGAGGCGGCCGCTGTGGCAGCGCAGGCGGCTCGGCTACGGCCCGGAGCGCAGCGGAAGCCGGGAGGGATGCAGCGGCGGGGACCTTGGCCGGTGGAGGATGCGGAGGTGGAAGTGGAGCGGATGGTGCTCCCCAGGAGCTCCGCCACGCGAGGTTTCGGGCTCGCGGTTTTGCTTCCTCCGGGTCCCCGCTCCAGAGCAGCTCGGCGAGATGAAGACGCCGGGGACAGCGCCGCGGGGAGGGCGCTCCGGGCCGTAAGCGCTGCACCCACAAAGAGCAGCAGTCCCGCCGCCCCGCGCCTCCGCTGCGTGGGGGCCGAGGGCCGCTTCTGGGCTCCCCTTTCCGGTCCCCCGGCGAGTTGGAGATTGTTCTCCGGCCTCGGCCGCAAGGGGGTGAGGCGAGGGGCCGGCGCGGCCGCTCCCGCCGCGGCTCCGTCCCGCGCAGCTGCCACAGCAGCCGCCCCTACTGCCCGCGCACCGGCACCCGCCCGCCGGTCCTCGCCCTGCGCCGCACACTCGCGCGCGCCGCCCTCCGTCGTCGACCGCGCACCCCGTTCGGCCTCCGCTGCGCGACCTGGGCGAGCCGCCGCCGCTCTCGCCGCACGCGCTGCCTGGCTGCGCGGCCCGCTCCCCTCTCCTATCTCTCCCGCCGCCGCCGCCCTCGTCTCCCGCCCCCGCCTCCCTCCGCCGCCGAGCTTCCCCGCCCGCGTCGCGGCCAATCGGAGGCCACCAAGCTGCGGCTGTAGCCGGCCGGATCCGCGGCAGCCGCCCGCCCCCGCCCCGCCGAAGCGCCCGGTATTTTGCTGCAGCCCGCGGGGGGTCGCCGGAGGGAAGCCTGGGGTGCGCCGAGTACCACCCCGGCAGGTGGAGGGGCTGCGGGAAATAAAATAACTTGCGCAGGAACTTGATTGGTAGCAGGTTTATCTTTGGTCCGCGGTGGGGAATCTGATGGAGATGAGGAATGGTGGGGAGGGGGATGCTTCCTTGGGAGCCTAACCCACGTTTCTCTATTTTGTCCTTCTTTGATGATGGGTAATCTTTCCGGGCCCGGGCAGACTCAGCAAACTAAGGACACAGGCCAAGCTCATCCTAGCTATTGTTGTCTGAGGCGCTCGCGAGGAGCCACCTGCAGGCGGGGGGAGGGCGGAGGCTGCTGCTCCTCTCTGGAGCTCGCACCTCCAGCTCCCACCCTTGCAGATGTACTGGAACAGCCCAAGTTTTTGTGTTGTTGTTTTGTTTTGTCCCCTCTGGGAGTTTGAGTGTGCATGTTTGTTATTTTATTTGAAATCTCGGTTTTCTATTGCTACCCGTTAGTGGTATGGTTCACATTTGGGACCAACAGTTTCAGGGTAGTTTTACTCCCTCCTACCACCCCCAACAACAATCAAAAGAAGAGAGAAACTAAAAGCTGGAACTCCTGAAAATAGGATTATCTAAAAGATAAAATGACTGATAAAGAATTCGCACCATGTAAAGGATTTCAGTTGGCTTTCTTTGAGGCATGAACTTGGAGGACAACACAGTGAGAGACTTCACAAGTTTGAGTCACAAGCATTTGTGAAATGGAACTGGGAATGGGGAGCAGTGTTTGGTTTTTTGTTTTTTCCAACTCTGGTGAGGTAATAAATTTTCGAGGACTTTTTTTTTTTTTTTTAAGGTTTACAGGTAAATAGAAATACCCGTTTTATCTAAGCCTTTCAACACTTGGAGGTCGGTGAACTTCATTGCAGTTAATGAATATTTTCTGCCTTTATTGCTTGCTTTTCTGCTTTGGATGACGAATATTAACGTTATTTGAGTTTCAAGATACCTATCATTTAAGAATTTGATGATGAACCTTTAAAAATCAGCTACTAATTTCCTGACATAACTGATGCAGCTTTTAATAATGTACTATTGCTGGCTAGGCTTTTAAAATTTTAATATTAATAGGGAGACGTTCAATTTTAATTAAAACATAATATTGTAAATTTTCTTATGAAACAAATTTTTTCCTGGATATTCTTTCTTCTCAAAAGAATAAGAAAGGTTATGTTAATTAAATTTAAAAGATGAAAGACTTAGCTAATATAGTAATCAGAAGTGCTTGTTCTTTTCCTTTCTCTTCTTTTTTTGCTAGATACTATTTTCACACTAATGCTAATCAGCCTAAAAGTTACCTTTGCAATAGAGTATTTATAAATTATGCATCCCGGGAGTCATGCATAAGAATAGTAAAAATTCAGTCGAGGGATATGTTTGTTATACTCCAAAATGGGATTTATAGATCTCATCTCCATGGCTAAGATTTAAGCTTCAACCCTGGGCATGGGGTTTTGATTGCATCCTCATCACTCCTAGCAGTAGCCATTAATGTTTATTACCTTTCTGATTAATTTAAAGATAGAACAAATTTCAGCATGAATAACTCTATTGCTTGTTAATAGTATTTACTTGAAGGTTTAAACATCATGTCTCTTATAAATTAAATGCTTATGATTTCAAAATCTTTGGAATGGCTGTCAGTCAAGGAATTCTCTGATTCCAACAGTTTTTAATCCTTTAGGTAAGCACTGGCAGCATTTTTTAAAAGTCCAATTTGCATGCCTCTCACTCTTCAGTAGTTGTGAATTGTTTTAGAATCTTGCCTCATTTTTAGTTGATCACCTGATCAGCCAAATCTTGCTAATAATTATAGGCTTTTGATTACAAGAAGGAATAGTCTAGTCTAAAATCATGCTGTTGGAGACTTTGTGCATCCATTTGATGTTAATGAAAGTAGATCTAGTGTTGACTATGATATCCAAACACAGCTTTACCTCTATAATACCATATCTAAGATTAGCTAATGGGGCCATTCATTTTTCTGGGCAAGTGGTGACCAAACTCAGATTTTTAGCCCCTGCTCAAAGCATTACTTGTCTGAAGACCAGTTTTCCATCAGCCTATAGAACTCCAGGGATGCAGGGGATTGTCAGTGACCCAGAGAAACAACCTCAGGTGGTATTAGGGGTTGGATAAATGGAGACAAGAAAAAAATATATAATAATATGAAACATGACTGAATTCACACATCAAAAATCAATCTGATTCTTCATATCTGACCTGTGGAGTAATGCCTATTTACAACAAGAGGTCTGCAAAGCTCTATGGAAAGACTGATTAAATGATGTGCCCTGAACACTTGGCCAGTTTTTATATGTATGTAGAGGTCACGATGATTCATTTCTAAGCATTCATTTTTATATGTATGTAGAGGTCATGACGATTTGTTTCTAAGCATTTATTTCAAAAATTATAATAAATTTTGTTCTGGTGTGTTTTGTCAGACAGGATATGCTACATGTACGAATTCACCATGTACATGCTTGTGTACAAAGTTTCTTGCCTTGGACATAAATGCTGAACAGCAGTAGTCTAATCTGGAGCCTCCTCTCCCTGACCTCCCCTTCCCCACCCACTATGGACACTCACCTGAAATAGGCTCCACACTTGTCTTTGTCTCTGACACCTAGCAAGGTATCCTTCCCAAATGTTGAATGAAGACTTCCTTCTCCACTCCTCCTCCTTTTTAAGTCCCTGAGACTTAAAAGGTACACAAGGCCATCAGCTGGCAAGTAGGGAATGCAGAATGGGACCCAGGTTCTCTTACTCCCACTCTTACCTTTGCCCTTTATCTTATTCTGGGAAGTTCCTTTAACATTGGAAAATTCACCTATATGGAAAGAGAGAGAGATTTTCCTTTTTAAAGAAGAATATAATAATGTTAGGGATTTGTCTACTATTTTCTTCAAGTTTTTTGTTCTTCAAAGTATGTGTGAAATTGAGGACATAACTCTACGTTTCTTTCCGCTGCTCTCAGTTTTCATATGCTTTTCTTAGTGTGATCATCTTGTCTTATTTATTGTGATTTTGGCATTTAAAGATCCATATCTTTGATACAACCTGGCCGCTAAACACAAGTCAGTCCTTCATCTGGTGCTCAGAGAAGTAGTGATCTGATCCAATATTAGAAGAAAAACCTGGCTATTTAAAAAAAAAAATCTACTCTTGTTTGAAAATATTATTTACCTATTGTTTTTCATTATTTGAAAATCAAAATCAACATCTTCATGGAAAATAGAACCAAAGAAGTAACTTGAAGTACATATGGTCACATAAGTGAGATATAAATTTGCCAGATAAGCAACTCAACAGAGGGGAGTAATTCATAAACAGGCCCTGAATTACAAGGAACCCCACCAAAACACACATACACATGAACACAATCCCTTTCTTGTTCTGGAAGGTAGAGGGGTAGAGTATAATAAACAGATATGGCTATAAATTCAAGTAGACCTAGCTCTATGACCTTGAGTAAATTTCTTAACATTTCTAAGGCTCTTTTATCTTATCTTGAAAATGTGGATAATGACAGCATTTCTTTAAAAAGTCAGATAGGAACACAATAGATCACAATAGGGCCTTAGCATTTTATCTATAGTGTATTAAGTATGCTGATTTCACAGAGGATTCAGAGCACAGTTACTTAAGAATCTCAGTGAACTGCCAGGTGCCATGGCTCATGTCTGTAATCCCAGCACTATGGGAGGCCAAGGTGGGCAGATGACGAGGTCAAGAGATCCAAACCATCCTAGCCAACATGGTAAATACCTGTCCCTACTAAAATTACAAAAATTAACCAGGCGTGGTGGCACATGCCTGTACTCCCAGCTACTTGGGAGGCAGAGAACTGCTTGAACCTGGGAGGCAGAGATTGCAGTGAGCCAAGATCATGCCACTGCACTCCAGCCTGGAAGACAGAATGAGATTGTCTCAAAAAAAAAAAAAAAAAAAAAAAAGAATAAAAAGAATCTCGGTGAACACTCTTTCACCTCTCCCAGTTGCTGTCTGCAATTTAAAAAAATGCTTTTAGGCCAGTCGTGGTGGCTCATGTCTGTAATCCCAGCACTTTGGGAGGCTGAGGTAGGCGGCTCACTTGAGGTTAGGAGTTCGAGACCAGCCTGGCTAACATGGTGAACTCTCTTTTTTTTTTTTTTTAAATGCTTTTAATCAAAATTTTGTGTTGCAAAACAACACAAAACCTCTAATATAAAAATTAATGGCTGAGTAAATAATCTTCAGACTGGTAAAAGAAATAAAAATTTGGTGGCTTTGTAATGTGCAGAAAAACAAGTCTGGACATATGAAAGTATTCACAGGAAACAATATAATCAGTATTAATTTATTGATTTCATATAGGAGAATGAATTCATATTTGAATTATCTCACAAATTGATAATACCAAGACCCCGGCTAAACTGCATTTTGCTTAGGACCTTTCTTTTGCTAACCTGGCTTTTATTGTTTCTTAAACTGCTTTCTGCCTATGTGCTTCAAATCAGATTTGCATAGTTGATTTCATGAATCTTTTTTAAACATCAGCTATATTTGAGAAAATAAGATTTTCATGATATCCAAGAAGTCTACCTTCTGCACCAGAAGCCTAGATATTTACAGGGTGATGCCAGCACTTTAGATCACTTAAAAGACAGAAAGCCTATTTCTCGAGATAAACAAATCTTGAGAAAATAAAACAAATCATGCTGGAGACTTTGATAATTCTTAGTGGTGCCAAACTTTTGCCTTCATGTCTTTTTAAAAGCAAAGATCTGTCTTCAGGAAAGTTCTGAAATACAACTGTCAGTGTTTAGAGGATAGTAAAATATATTTACTATCTGAACTTATATTTGATTGCATCCTTTTGTCCAGTGAAAATTGAGGCCGTGGATAAAGTATTGGCTTGGGTTCAGGAGACCAATTTTCTCTTCCCAGGCCTATGGCTGGCTGAATAATCTTAGGTGTGACAATGTCTTTAAATGTTTTCTAATCTATAGAGCAGGAATAATGCCACTTTTCTCATAAGAATGCAGAGAGAACTAAGAAAATTATGTCAGTAAAATCTACTTCTTCATAGAGAAGTACTGCATAAATACGTCTTATTCTTTAAAGCTGTGGATTCAACTGTAAGAGGAATGATTAGTATCTAATGTTAAGTCACATTTTAATGATGTGGCATAATCAACAAGCCACCAAGTGCTTATTAAATTTTTCTTCTTTTCCCCACTTACTCATAAATTTTTAAAATAACAGTTATCTTTTTCATTACAAAGGCACCATTCACAGATATTTGAGAAAATTATATTGTTAAATGCACCATAAGTATTCATAGATTATGCTTACCCGTCCTTATATTCCAGTACCAGCTGTGCAGATATGGTCTGAGTTTTCCTTTTAAACAGGGAATGTAAAATACCAACAATATTCTCATTTATTACAGAATTTACAACGTATGTCACTCGGACCCATTTTTTTACATAGTTGCTAAAAAGCTGCGTGATTATCATAGATAAGCATGATCTTTCCGGGTGGTCTATTATTTTGACTCATCCTTGAGAAAGGTTTTTCAAAGACAGGTCTGCAAGAGATGAGAATAGTCTCATTTCTAAAGTATTTACTAGAGCTAATAATAAAAGTGCATTTTTATTCCAAGACTAATTTATCCACACCATGTGAAATTTCAAAGTCTTGGAGGCCAAGACACAGGCTGTCTCGAATTGAGGGAAGAGGGCTTTGAGGAGCCTGCTGGTCAGTGCTATGAGGGAAAGAAGTCAAGAGATAGGGATGAAGGTCACAAGTGGACATCAGGAAGGACTAAGGCACTTGAGGTTTGTACTCTGTCATCAGCAGAAGGGGTTCATACTGTGGATACAGTGTGGACTATGGTCAAGCGATAGGATATGGGGAAAGTCACAGTCGTAACAATTTCTCAATAAATATTTGCCCAGATTTAGGAGTGAATCATACAGAAGAATAGGACACGGAATTTGGACAGGAGAGTGGGGACAAGCTTTTCAGTATCCAAGACTGATAGGAAGCTCCACACAAAGGGAACAGCTGATATGTAACAGTTCGTCCAGGCCAGTTCATTCTTTCCTATCCTCAGATTTGCACAATTCTTGATAAGGGAAAGTTTCTCATGAGATTCTTACTGGGGATGTGTGGGGTTATCCTGAGTTCTAAAACTGCTACTTCAACAAATGTGAAATACCTATTTATACTTCTCAAGTTGTTTTTGTAAGGATGGAAATGAGGTAAAATGGTTTTTTTTGCTTTACAGTCTTTTTTAGTCAAAAGTAAGCACGATTTGACTGAAAATAAATGGGATAGTATACATTTTAACTGAAGAAGATATAAGTTGGCTTTCTTAATTTTATTTCCTCATTTTCTGGAACTCCCTGTTTTTTGGATGTAGAACTTTCCAGAGTATTGATTTTTATTTTTTTAATCTCTCTCATTTTATCTTCTCCCTTCCTCCCTCTTTCTCTTGTTCCTTCTCTCGCTTTCTCCCTCTTTCCCTTTTTCTCTACAATTAAAAAAAAGTTGGAGATATTTCTTTACCTTTATTTTCCTACCTTTCTGTTGAGAATTTGATAATGTTTTTCATTTCCAAGAGGTTTCAGTGGTTCTCTGATTTATTTTTTATAGATATTTGCTCTCATTTCATAAATGTAAGAGCTTCTCCTAAGTCTATATTGTTCAAAGCTTTCTTCTGCTTCTGCTTTACATCAGTTTCTTCTCTCTTTTTTTTTTTTGGTCTCATGTTTGAGGCTTTCTTGAGGAGGAGATTATGTTTAGTATGCCGAATTTCATTTAATCTTACCAATTTTTAATAAGGCCCCCTACCCCGCCTCATTTTTGCTTGAAGCAAGAGGTCACAGATTGTCCCTAAGGCTTCTTTCCAGGAACCTTCTCCAAACTTCTAACCACTGCCTTCTCCCATTCTGAGGAAACAGGGATTATTATTCCCTCACTTACACCAGATTCCTCATTCCCATCTGCACCCTGGGACCAGTTCCTGCCCTGTAAAGGTGTTTAAAGAACCTCTCCAGGTGAGACAGGCTCAAGTCACACTGTGCTCTGCTGGTGGCTTGACTTATCTGTGTCAAGATGTCATCTGTGATTTATTCCTTGATAAAAGGAAAGCAGGAGCCCTAAGTGATTTTCTGGATGACTGCTGACACTTTTCTCCTGTCGGAGTTGTCATCTACTTCTCCCCAACAATGAGATGCACATCAGTCTCATCAGAAGCTTTCAGCTTAGGACTCCCCTTGTGACACAGTCCTTTCTAAAGTTAATCATGGGCCTCCTGTGCTTCATGCCCTCCTATGAGAAATAGTGTCTGCTCCACAAATTACTTCACCCCAAATTATTTGTTTTGGCCCCCATAGTTTTTGGCTTTAAAAAAAATCTAAATGCTTTATCCTCAGCATAACATAATAATAGTTATATGAAATCAGATTTCCAAGGTTTTATATTCTGTGGAGGCAATCTGTGGAGGTACCTTCACCCTAATGCATTCACTCCATTCACAGTAGCTGAATCTGTCCAAAGTGAAGTAGTCATTTACATAATATGAAAAAATTTATGTGTTCAATAGACAGTAAGAAATATAAATTTATAATATTGGTAGTCCAAGCCTACTATTTATAGCTGATGGGATAGAAAGACTTCAGTAACTAAAGTATTTAGTCGAATTATCTTCAATTTTTTGTTGTTGTTATTGTCATAATGTATTTGCTAACATACCCTAGAAATAACATCTTTCAGTTGGAAGGTGTACTTTATAAACATATGTTGATCAATAAGTGCCTTTTTTTTTTTTTTTTTTTTAAGTCGGAGTTTCACTCTTGTTACCCAGGCTGGAGTGCAATGGCGCTCACCACAACCTCCGCCTCCTGGGTTCAGGCAATTCTCCTGCCTCAGCCTCCTGAGTAGCTGGGATTACAGGTATGTGCCACCATGCCCAGCTAATTTTTTGTATTTTTAGTAGAGATGGGGTTTCACCATGTTGACCAAGATGGTCTCGATCTCTTGACCTCGTGATCCACCCGCCTCGGCCTCCCAAAGTTCTGGGATTACAGGCTTGAGCCACCGCATCTGGCCCTAGTAAGTGCTGTTTTTAATACTTTATCCCAAATATTGTGATATATTTCTCTTAGGAAAGGTCATTGCTACTTTCTCCACTAGCACTCCTCCTGTCGAGAATCACAGTTTAATATTCAATTCCTCTTCATTTGCATTTAATATAAATCTTCTGTTATTCATTGAAGTCTTATGAGGTTGAATGTTATCTTGCTATTCATCAGTGTGCCGTCACTTCACCTTAAAGGTATTTATAAGGATTTTATTCACATGATGCTCTCAAGCTTAGAGTTCAACTACTAGGATTCGTTCAACAGATATTAGGGTCCATTTAACAGATGCATAGAAATCAGTCACCATTTCACCCAAAGTTACATCCAAATACTTAGTTTTGTGAAATGCATCTCTACTGCTTGGAATATCCAGTTTTGCCTTACAGTAAAACTGGGTATGCTGACCACCTACTAGTAACACATTTGTAAACATGCCAGAGGAAGAAACCTACTTTTACTTATAGAGCAAATACCTTCTCTTAAAAAGAGGTACCTTTTTAAAGATTGTGTCCAAATTGCAGAACTCACCTGAGAATAACAAAAAGGTACAAGACCAATGCTGTCTATCTTTTTCTTTTACCCTTAGCCATACTGAGAACAAGCTGGCTTCAGTGCAACTATGGCACAGACTACAGAGCACATAAGAAAAGAAACAATGGGGCCACCAACAGTCTAAAAGGGAAGGAGCGCTATAGTGAACAGGAGCATGGACACATGAAGGCTCCAATGAGATTCTTAAACTGTGTGTCCAGCAGAAGCTATCAGTGAAGAGATGTTAAGTTCATACAGCTTCTTGAAGAAAAGCAACATCCTAGGATCCCAATAAATAAAAATCCTTCAATTGATTCAGAAGATGCTGACTAAAATCTTAAAGATGTTTCCTGGTGGAACATGTTTTTGTTTATTTTTAAGAATCACACAATCAATCCAGTTCCTTGCATGTTGCAAACCTCTAAGAGATCCCTTTGCACCCGCTCAGTCCTGTAGTTTAGAATGACTGACAGTATCTCTATAATTAATAGAGCATAATTGGATTATTACCAAAGGCAAAATAATATATTTGCTGTTTTTTAGTTTTTAAAAACAAATGTTTTAAAAATCCAAGTTTAATCATCTTCACCATCTAGGTAATAAAATATATATGTGCCTTCCCCCACATGTTTAAATAACCAATATCATAATTAATAGTTTTTCCAGAAATAAAATTCTTAAATCTTTATGCAAAATTTTGAATATACAAATATTTTGTATCCCTAGCTACTATTTTCTTAACTTCTGTTTTCATTTAGAAATGTTTGCATTTGACCACACTCTTCTTCACTAAACACTTTTCATCTTTGTCCTCCTTTGATTTGAAATCCACAGCTAATATAATTTCTTAGTCATCTATGCTTGATATAGTTTTTAAAAGATCTATTTATTTTGAATTAGCTTACAATGCCTTAGAAACAAGCAAGAAAAGGAAAAGTAGGGAGGGAATAGTAAGGAGGAAGAAAGAAAAAATTATTCAGTTATGAACTGTTGACTTTTTCTATGCTTTGTTTAAGTGTCTAATCTTAAAGGGGAAATGGTGGAATCCTGCTCTTTGAACCAGCCATTAGGAGGTGCTCATAGTTTGGAGCAAACTCTTCAAACCTTTAAGGCTTGTCTAGCTTTTCTGTTCTGCAGAACTTATCTTTAATTTTAGAAATTTTCCTTCACTTGAACATACCACTTGTAAAAATTGTCTGGCTGACAGCTCTGGGAACCAAAGTCATCCAATTAGTCCAAAAAACAAATGTTTTGTGGCATCTATCACCACAGAACACCAACAGGCCCTCAGACAAACACATCAGGTTAAAAGAAAAACATGTATTTGAGAAGGAAAACTTTGGCTATTTTGCCTTCAGAGAGAAGTGGTTGATATTAATTGGCGTAAGGCAGTGGTCTTCCGGAAGCATTTCCAAGGGCTATATCTAATTTCGTAAAGTAAAGGGGCATATTTGTATTCTGAATATGCCTACAGGGTAGAGTGTACTTTCATAAAGAAGTTTCATGGCTGTTTATTATAGACACATTCACACTGTTAATTTTTCATTTTTGTTTTACCATTATTGCTTTTCATTTGCTATAACACACCCAGACTGGCAACTTGACAAGCCTTTGGTCCAGTGTGGACATGCTTGGAGCAAAGAAGACTGAAGGACAAGTATGCGCCATCCTTTCGTAGGTTTGTATTGGCCCCAAAGCACTGTTTGGAAGACAGTAAACAATGTTAGCCTACTTATTTTTAATAGAAGTTATTGTTAAGGAGTTATAGGTGTTTCTACAAGTAGTACAAGTATAAAATACTATGTATGAATTACTTAACTGATTAAATGATGGCTTCCATAATCTTGTGCCATTTATAAAGTTCAGTGCGAAAATCAAATATTGACGTTAAATTTTAATTTAAAAATTTTCATATTAAAGTAAATCAATGCACAAAATTTCAAAATTATATGCCTGAGAAAAAAGAAGATAACTTTATTTTATTTTATTTTTATGTATTTATTTTTTTGAGACAGAGTCTTGCTCTGTTGCCCAGACTGGAGTGCACTGGCACGATCTCAGCTCATAGCAACCTCCGCCTTCCAGGTTCAAGTGATTCTCATGCCTCAGCCTTCTGAGTAGCTGGTACTACAGGTGCCCACCACCATGCCCAACTAATGTTTTTGTATTTTTAGTAGAGACAGGGTTTCACTATGGTGGTCAGGCTGGTGGGGAGCCCCTGACCTCAAATGATCCGCCCCCTCCTGCCTCAGCCTCCCAAAGTGCTGGGATTACAGGCGTGAGCCACAGTGCCCACCCTAACTTTAGAACAATTATTTTTACTTTGGATCAACTCCTAGCAAATGGGAAAGCTTATTTCGTATCTTTGGCCCCCAACTCATAGTGTCTTAGGTCCAAGCATTTCCCAGGCCTAAGAGAGGTCACTGCATAATGTTGATGATGACACCTACTGGCAGCACAGGATTTTGCACCCTAGTTCCATAAGACAATGAAACCCCTTGTTATCTATCTAAAATAAAGATATTTGAAATCTGTATTTTTTTTTTTTGCCTTTGTCTTTTTTTTTAATTGTACTTTAAGTTCTGGGGTACATGTGCAGATCTTGCAGGATTGTTGCATAGGTGCACACATGCCATGGTGGTTTGCGGTCTCAATCCCCCCCATCAACTACATAAGGCATTTCTCCCGGTGTTATCCATCCCCAACCTCCCTGCCCCCTGCTGTCCCTCCGCTAGTCCCCCAACCCCCAACAGAACTCAGTGTGTGATGTTCCCCTCCCTGTGCCAATGTGTTCTCATTGTTTAACACCCACCTATGAGTGAGAACATGCAGTATTTGGTTTTCTCTTCTTGTGTCAGTTTGCTGAGAATGATGGTTTCCAAATTCATCCATGTCCCTACAAAGGACACGAACTCATCATTTTTTATGGCTGCATATTATTCCATGGTGTATATGTGCCACATTTTCTTTGTGCGATCTATCATTGATGGGCATTTGGGTTGGTTCCAGGTCTTTGCTTTTGTAAACAGTGTGGCAATGACATATGTGTGCATGTGTCTTTATAATAGAATGATTTATAATCCTTTGGATATATACCCAGTAATGGGATTGCTGGGTCAAATGGAATTTCTATTTCTAGGTCCTTGAGGAATCACCACACTGTCTTCCACAATGGTTGAACTAATTTACACTCTCACCAACAGTGCAAAAGTGTTCCTATTTCTCCACATCCTCTCCAGCATCTGTTGTCTCCAGATTTTGTAATGATCACCATTCTAACTGGCATGAGATGGTATCTCAATGCAGTTTTGATTTGCAAATGTTAACCAATTTGTTATCTAATTCTTCTTTTAATCCAAGTTGGTCTTATTTTCTTTTTCTAACATTTAGTATGTTTTCATTCTTTAAAACATGTAGAAAAATATTTATACTTATGAATTCACTTTTATGCACCAATTTTGCTTTGATGTTTTTATTAATTTATTTTTTTCCCTGAGTCCAATAGTTACTTTAAAAGGTTTGTTTTCATTCTCAAGTGGTATACTTTTGTTTCTAGTAACAGAAAAATTTGTATTTTACATTCAATTGTTGTCAGTTAATATTTTACATTCAATCCTTGTCGGTTAATATGGTGTATGATTTCAGTTTCTTTGGATTACCGACTTTGTTTTGGGTCTGATACCAATTTTCATTCATGCTTCTTGCATATTTTACATGAAGGAAATTACTGGTGATGTCAAGAACTATGGCAAATTGAAATTTTACCCTATTTAACAAGCTAGCTTTCATGATTGTATGGAAGATAAACAATTAGTGGGTTAGAGACCATTTATTTTATTACAGTAATAGCAGTAGCTAGAGTATCATCATTTTTGTGTCAGTTCCCCATACCCCAATTCACACAGGATGGGTGAGGAGGGCCAGATGATACCAACACACAAAATAGATACATTACAAGAGAGGAATCCTAAACGTAGGGCATCTGATTCTTTTATAAAAGGCAGTAGGCATGCCTGCCTTTTTTTCCTGGAAGGAGGTATCTTCATTGTGCTGGGCTGCAAGCATGTCCGACCTTTGCTTTGGAAGGAGACAATCTTCATCTTCCTGGACTATAAGCAAACCAGCTCTTTGCTCCAGAGGGAGACACTGTCTCTTTACTCCCAGGTAATTATCTATACAAATGTTCTAGAAAAGACTTTCTGGAACAAAGGCATCTATTGCCTGTGTTTGTAAGATGTGCAGAAATGCCAGACACCCGTGGATAATTTCCTTTTGACATGTGAGTTGAGGTTAAATTTTTATGTATATTAGTTCTACCTTGATCAAATTCTTTCAAATTGTTTTTGTCAACTCAATATAGACATAAAGACAGAGATGTTTGCCATGTGTAACTATCTCTCTATCTCTGCCTCTATCTCTCTACATATAGAGAATATTGCTATGTTTAACAGTGTAGATAGATGATAGATAAATGATAAGGTTATATGTTTAAAATGTTATTCCCTATGTTCTTAATAATTTTATGTATTTTAAACTATTCAACTTTAGAAATTCAATATTATTTCTTTCACTATTTGTAATTTTGTCAATATATAATAACTCTTTTTAGTCCCATTTGTGTAAGTTGTCACATCTCTATATTTTTATTTAAATCTCTTTCTTAAAAGTAATAAATTATCAGATTATTTTCATTCAATCTGATACATTTCACCTTTTTAATAGAAGAGCATGAATTATATTCATTATTTGGGCCTGACATACCATTTTTGTTGTTGGGCATTTGTTTTGTTTTTGTTTTTGTTTTTCTTTGAGAAAGGTTTCTTTCTGTTGCCCAGGCAGAAATGCAGCGGCAGGATCACTGCTCACTGCAGCCTTGACCTCCAAGGCTCAAGCGATCCTCCTACCTCAGCCTCCAAGTAGCTGGGACTACAGGTGGGTGCCACCATGCCTGTATACAAAAGAATGTTTGTATTCTTTGTAGAGATAGGGTTTTGCCATGGTGCCAAAGCTGGGCTTGAACTCCTGTGCTCAATCTGTTTACCCACCTCAACCTCTCAAACTGCTGGGATTATAGGCGTGAGCCATTCTTCCCAGCCTGTTGTCTGTTTTTCTTTTTGCTTCCTCACCATTTGGCCTGTCTTCTGTTGGCTGTTTCGTTTACCTTGTCTTCTCATTACTTTAGAACACAGTCATCCAGTGTTTAATTCTGTTCATGGTTATCTCATAATTATTAAGAAATTTTCATAACTATTTGTTTATTAAAATAGCAACAGGAAGATTCTTGTTTATTAATTGTACTTCCTTTACCATATCTTTCTCAGTCTTTAGTAATTAATCTGGTTATGTAAACTTTGTCATTAATATATCTATACCTATTTCTCTTTTTAAGAAATTGGGGTTTTTAAGTGGTTGCATTTCTGTTACCCTAATAATGCCAATTATTTTGAGTTTTCAGCATTAGTTTTATTCTCTGTAGTCATATTTTACAGTGGCTGTAGGAACGCTACTGTTACAGGTTGAAGGCCAAGAAAGTTGTTCCTAAATTCTCTAGTTTCTTTGTGCTTTAGAGCTAAGGTAGAAGTGAATCAGAATTCCACTGAATCTGGGCACCCACCCCAAGTGAGTACAATTAACCCCTCCATACACAGTAGGCAGAATGATGAGGAAAAAGGCTGGGTGCAGTGGCTCACGCTTGTAATCCCAGCACTCTGGGCCAAGGCTGGTGGATCACTTGAGGTCAGGAGTTCAAGACCAGCATGACCAACATGGTGAAACCCCATCTCTACTAAAAATACAAAAATTAGCCAGGTGTTGTGATGCTTGCCTGTAATCCCAGCTACTTAGGAGACTGAGGCAGGAGAATGGCTTGAACCTGGGAGGTGGATGTTGCAGTGAGCTGAGATTGAACCACTGCACTCCAGCCTGGGCGACAGAGTGAGACCCTATCTCAAAAAAAAAAAAAAAAAAAAAAAAAAAAGAATGGCTAAAAGTTTCTTTCTGCAGATGTGAATTCATGAATAGAATACTCTTTTCTTTTCCCCTTATCCAAAGCTTCTATTGGGAGCGGTGTATGTTTCTATTCCCTGTTCCCTTCTTTTTCCCTCTCTTACTTCCTTGAATCTCCAGAACTGTCTTACTCACCACAGGCCTCTAACTTTACAGTCTAATGTGTAGTTTTGAAGGTAAGCCAAAATGCATGAGGATACTTATCTATGTCTTCATGGGCTGTCAGAACAAAATACCATTGACTGGGTGGCTTAAACAACAGAAATATCTTTTCTCACAGTCTTGGAGTCTTAAAGTCTGAGAATGGGGTGCCAGCATGGTAGAGTTCTGGTGAGGGCCCTCCTCCTGACTTGCAGATGGTGACCTTTCTTCTGTGTGCTTCCATGGCATTTTCATGATATATGGGGGTAGATCTCTGTCTCTGCTCATAAGGTTACAATTCTACTGGATTAGGACTCCACCCTTACAACCTAATTTAAACATACTTAGCCCCAAAAACACTATCTCCAAATACAGTCACATTGGGAATGGGGCTTCAACATGGGAATTTTGGAGGCATACATAGCAGTGCTATAACCCTTGAGGACTTCATTTATGCTATAACCTAGGCCAAAAAGCACATCGCACTTTTCCTTAAATAGACAACCTGCCTTCATCTGTCAAGACTAGTTCAAGGGTCATCCCTGCCAAGAAGCCTTGATTGAATCCTTAGATGAAGCTACAAGCTCTGGATCTACATGGTCCCTTCCTGCCTGTGAAGAGCTTTCCCTCATCTGTTAATGTTTGACTATCTTAATTTGCCCTACATTTTTCAAGAGCAAAGCTGGTTTCTTACTTACTTTGAGACTCTTAGTGCTTTGGGCAGTAACTGGCTCAGGATAAGCCTGTGATCAATGTTGGATAAACTGAAAGTGCAGAAACAAGATCGTCCATGTTGAATGAGGCACCTGGAAATCTTAGACAGACAGGAGGAGGAAAGGTTGTTGAAGAGGGAGGGAGTGGTACTGGCGAGGGCAGAGACCTGAGTCTTTGGTGATGGAGATCTGGATCTTACTGCATGACCACTAGGGCTTTTCAGGCCACTGACAGAGGACTCCCAAGTTTGTACCAGTTGATTTCAGCCCAAGCCTCTTTCAGAAATGCACGTTTTGTGAATTATTAAAAATTTGCCACAAAGGGAACTCATTTGCCATCTGACATCTGGGAAATTCTGCTATGTAGCTAACTTGCGCAGAAGACATATACTTCATAATGTGGTAGAAATCAATATAACAAAATTGTCAGGGATCCTTAGAGAATAACATTAATCTCCCCATGCAATCTTTTTTCATAAAATCTCTTAGCAGTAAAGACAAGGCCTCGTGGTGGTAAGCATGTCCTTTAAAGATTAAATGAGGATCAGTGACCCTTGAGTTCGGTTAGAAAATAATAATATATTTTAAACTAGTATGATCAAAAAGATTTGATGTGCCCTTTAAGAACATAACGATGAAAAAATTGCCACCAACGTAATTATTTCCACCATTGTTTTGCCTGCTATTCACATACATCAGAGGAAAGGGGAAAGTTTTGACGGTCAGATCTCTAAGCCAGACTCTTTTCTCTCTTTCAGGGACTTACTGAACCCAAACTACATGCTCTTTTCTGATCCACAGACTTTGATTAACAGATTTTCACAAGATGCTAAACATTTTGGGTGAAATGAAAGGTTTTTGTATTCATTTAACAGAACTGCTCTATTAGTTGATTTGCAAAGATTTAGTTTTGAAATCTGGACTGCCTGTTATTTTGAACTTCTTGCTAATTTCCCCATTAGAAGCTCATGGCATTGTTCTTTTTAACACCACCTTCTCTTCCTTGTCTGGAGGGAATTCCTGCTTTCCTGGCTCCTGCTGTGGCCTCTCTGGGAAGCTCTCCTCACCTGTCCCGGGTTTCCACCAATTCTGTGGTCACCAGGTCTCTTCCCCAGTATTGGGAGTCTAGCAGTGGAGTTGTGGTATATCAGGAGGCACAGCGCCCTCCTCATGCTCCTACTTTGTGATCATCTCCCTTACCTAATCCATTCCAGCCCCATTTCTGAGCAACGTGAAGCTAAAAACAGCCAAGCTTTTTTTCACTGGCAGAGTCTGACCAAGGCCTGCTAGCTTTTGTTTTGTTTTCCTTGAGGGCTTCAGGCTCAACTTGGTGGCTCATGCCTGTAATTCCAGTGCTTTGGGAGGCTCAAGCAGGAGGATCAATAGAGCCCAAGAATTCAAGGCCAGCCTGGGCAACATAGCAAAAAAAAAAAAAAAGAAGACTTGAAGACATAGGTAGTTTTCATATAAATTATCACAATCTTTTTAGAATACAGACAGTCCTTGGTTTAGGATAGTTTGACTCAGATTTTTTTTTTACTTTACAATGATGCAAAAGTAATATGCATTTAGTAGAAACCATACTTTCAATATCCATACAATCATCCTGTTTTTTTACCTTCAGTGCAATATTTAATGAATTACATAAAATATTCAATATTATTTTATAATAAATTAGCTTTGTGTTAGATAATTTTGCCTAACTGCTCACTAATGTAAATGTTCGTTACATTTACATTATGAAAGCTAGGCTAGGATACGCTATGATGTTCGATAGGTTAGGTGTATTAAGCGCATTTTTGGCTTACAGTATTTTCTACTCACAGTGGGTTTATGGGATGTAACCCCATCATAAGTCAAGGAGCATCTGTGTAATTTTGTACTTTTATGTTTCCCTTTACTTCTATAAATATCTCAATTTGCTTTTTCAAGACAATTAACTAAAGAAAATAACTGTTTAAGAAAGGGAAAGATGTATTTGTCTACCTTATAAAGACATTTTTATTAAATCAATCTATTAGTCTATGAATTGTTAAATAATCCTGTATATAATATAATTTATGATTAACAAGATTAAATGAGTTTTTCTAGGACTGGTGAATCTACTGAATGTGGTGATTGCTGCTTTTTAAAATTAAGTAAATTATTTTGTTGTATTTTTTTTCTTAAAGCCAAAATACTAAATAAATATAAAGACCTTTGGGTCAGAAGCTGCTCTGATTCAGACAGCAATTTAAGCTCCACGATGAAATGGTTTTTGTTGACACAGAATAGTAACAATTTTGCTTTTGGTTTTGTAAATAAAAAGCCACCAATTTCTTTAAAAGTTCATGTCACAATATTAGTTACATGTTGCTATTTTCTTAAAACCCATCAGAGAAATAATTTTAATTGTTTTTTTAATAGTGGATTAACAAAAAGATTCAGTCTCAGGCAAGCATTCTTTTCTATATTGCTATAGTAATGACAAAAGTCTAGAGTATTTAGAAATATTTGAAACTATGAATGGATGCCCTGGAAAAATTACCTTCATTGACAACTGAGTTAATTATAGTAGTTCTGTTATTCAAAGCTCTATTATTTGGCTGTTAAAATCATTGTAGGTTAAAAATGGACTCACATTAGCTTCCCTGTAGGTATAGCATTTTACATACTTTAAAAAAGACTTGATTATTTTCCAAACCCAATGGTATAAATACTCAAAAAAAAGTACACTCAAAATAGTTATTCTGTGACATGAAATCTGAATTGTTTATATTTTAGATACTATAATATTTTTATTTGAAATTTTAAAAAACAACTCTGTAGAATTAGCTTGCCGATAATAGAAATATATTAGCTACGCATAGTTGAATGTACATTTCATAAATTTTATTTTGAAAAGAATTCTGGCTAATCTGTGTCTTTCATTTTCTATGCAGCTCTTTGGGAGGCCAGAATGTGACTATCATGGAGCCCTTCGATTTTAACAGAGATCCTTTCTCTATAACTAATTCAACGCATGGCTATATGGGTAATTTTGAACAAGTGGATCTTTCTCCAACCTGAAAGGCTGCCAGGACAAAGAGGGAGTGAGAAAAAGAGGGTATCAAAAGGAGTCATAGAGAACCACAAAATAATCACGAAGCATTTCTGTATTGCCACAATCTCCTTACAGAAGTGCATTGAGAGGTGGTGATATGGAACAGAGAGGACACATCATTGCAATAAAATACTCCATAATACCTGGGACAAGAGTTGGAAATGATTTTGTCATCAAATAGAACACCAAAACTGTAGGAAGTAGGACTATGTCTGCTGGTAAGGAATTTTTCAAGAATTATTATAGCTCCCCTCATTTTTCAAATATTCACATCGCAGTGTAATATGAAATATTAGAAATATAAGACTAAAAATATAAAGTAGAAACTGCCATTTCAACTGTTATATATCACATTTAATGAAAAAAGCCTTTCAGTCAAATATTGTACAAGTGCATAAATTATGATTAGTTACTGTGAATTTAGATATGACTATTTTATTGAATCCAATGTGTCAGAATAACTTATTAAAGAGGGCTCAATCTATCAGACCTGTGAAATCCTCACAAATGGAATATATTCTGAGTTATAGCATAGTAGTAATACTGCAGTAAGTGGAAGGAAGTTTTGATTTTGCAAATGGCAATGGAAATCCTTTCATAGTACCCATTAAATGAAAACAATCTCAATAAATTAAAACAGTTTAAAATATGTAGTATATCTGTTAAGTTTCAGTTAATAAGAAAACCAAACAAGTAATAACTGGGAATATGGCAAGGAGTGATTCCTGGGAGTAAAATAGAAACCTTATTTATGACAGGGCCATGTGAGACACAGGGTAACTTGTTTCTGAGTCCAGACATGTGGTTCTACATTGCTTAAATATTCCTTATCAGAGAGAAAATTGATACTAGATCCTGGAGCCTGGCTGAGCCCACAAATGGGGATCCAGTGGGGGTACATTGCCAGGAGATGGACTTCTATGGCAAAAGCTCTACTAATTTAATATGTGTCTCTTTATGATGTCAGTTAGGCTGTGTCATGGGAGTAAGTGATATGTTAGAAATAAGGTTTAATACAAGAGGCAAGACCAGGTCTGGGATGGTTTGGAATTCATTAATTCATTTTCAAGCTTTGTACATATAGATGAAAATATGGATTTTAGAGTAAAAAATTATCTACACATTAAGTTGAAAAGAGACACCTATTGAAAGAACCCAAAGAGGAAAATCATGTTAGAGGGGCATTTTATGAGAATTTTTTAGTTGTAGAATGATTTTGGTGATTAGAATTAGGGAGTACACTCAGAAAACTTATGGTGTTTCCCATTCAGGTGTGGCATGATAATATCTTGAAATTTTAACTAATGTGTTTGCTTTTCTACACATCCTTCTTCGTCTTTCTCTATTCAGTCAGAGGTTTTCAGGAAAATTAGGATGATTAAGACAGGATTGCAAAGAACCAGTCAATGATAAATTTTTGAGATGTAAAACAGATTTTGAAACTTGTTAAGAGTCAGTATTCTTAAAAGTTAATGGGGTTTCAATGACAAACATGGTTATTCTTAGAGAGAAAAAAAGATTTACACAAATATGCAGGGGCCTTTTCAAAAGTGGTAGGTTTACAAGTCTATGTGTAGGCTGGGTGCAGTGGCTCACGCCTGTAATCCCAGAACTTTGGGAGGCTGAGGCAGGCAGATCACTTGAGTTCAGGAATTTGAGACCAGCCTGATGAACATTGTGAATCTCCGTCTCCTCTAAAAATTCAAAAATTAGCTGGGCATGGTGGCAGGCACCTATAATCCCAGTTACTTGGGAGGCTGCAGCAGGAGAATCACTTGGACCTGGGAGGCAGAGGCGGCAGTGAGCTGAAGTTGAAGTTGTGCCACTGCGCTCCAGCCTGGATGGCAGAGCAAGAACTCCATCTCAAAACAACAACAAAAGTCTGTGTGTCATAAGTAATGGCTCAGGGGCCTGAAAACTGGACCTACCACCCTGCCCAGTCCTAAGATCAATTTCTGGTAAGTAAAGATGATTGAAACTCCATGTAGTTGGGGGGTTGTAAAAGAAAATATGCATTACCCAGGTTCCAGTCACTAGTAGAAAGAATCCAAGCCTTTAGGGAAACTCTGTGTTGGTCATGGAACGTAGGCAGTAAAGTAGAAGGGGCTAGAAAAGAGCACCCAGAATATCCTAAGCTCTGAGCAGGCACAAGAGAGTGGGAATCCAGGCACTGTGGTCAGGCTAAGGAGAGAGCAGGATGACCACAGAGATGGCTGGTGAGCAGGAGAGGACATTCTAGCCATGGATAGCATGAGTTGGGAGCCACAGAACCAAAGCTCAGCAATGCCAGTACATCTCAGAAACCAAGGTGGGTGGAGGCTGATGCTTTCAGAGCAGTGCTTCTCGAAGGCATCATAATCACTTGGAAGCCTTGTTAAAGCACAGATTACTGGACCCTCAGCCAGAGTTTCTGATTCAATGGGTCTAGAGTGGAGCCTGAGGATTTGCATTTTTAACAATTTCTTGGGCAGTTCTGACATTGCTGGCCAAGGACCTCACTTTGAAAAGCACTGTTGTAGACCAAATCGTCTAAGATGTTACCCACAGCCTCCTTGCCACCTTTCTGCACACATACCCAAAACTGAGATGGCCCCTGGACAGAAGTGAGAGAGGAGGAGAAAACACATCCCAATAGCCTGAGAAGTCACCCAAAATAGACTGCGCTTAATCCCAAAAGTGCTCAGTAATCACTTGAGTGAGTGAATCTTGAGGGCCACAAAAATTTACCAACAGCAGAAATCAGGGCTCAAGGGCTAAATTCAGTGCAGTTGAAGAGAAAGAAATTGATCAGGTACATACCTAAATCTTATTTATCACTATGAAAATCAGTATCCAGTCTGTACTAAATTCAGGACAGTTTGTACTAAATATTAGAACAAACACTGAACTAAATTTTAAGTACACCTTTGGGACTCCAGGAAAGGAAACATCCCTAAAGGATGTTTTTGTCCTTTGTTACACTAAATCTTTCTCATAAAAATTTTGCACTTTTTAGTTTTTTTATAGAGGCAGGGTCCTGCTGTGTTGCCCAGACTGATTTCAAACTTCTGGCCTCAAGAGATTCTCCCACCTCAGGCTTTCAAAGTGCTGGGGTTACAGATGTGAGCCAATGCACCGGGCAGCATTGTGCTTTTTAACCTGCCTAGAAGTAAGATGTTGCTATAGCCCCAGTGCCACCATTATACTACTCATCCTCTGGGCCTCCTCAAAGAACAGAGAAAGCAGGAGCTATGTCTGCGTGGATAGCCCTTCTGAGAACTATGAGAAGGCTGAACATCTGTGTGCTTGGGAACACTACTCCCACATTCCCAGTTCTCCATCTGGGCCCCTGCATGAACAGACTTACTGCCCCTTTTATGACTTCTTAGGGGCCTCATGCACCCACAGCAAATAACAATGTTCAGTCTCCAGTGAAGTGGGATCCTCTCTCCTCAAGGGTCCAGTGTAAAAAGTAAGAGCCTGTCAGATGGCTTCTTTACTTAGACAGCTGGTAGGGTTTGGCTCTTCAATTTTGCACTGGTTTGGCCCAAAATTGAATTGTGCGTCTTTGCTTTTTGCATTTTCCCTATGCTGACAAGATCTATGTCAGTAATTTATAACTCTCACCAAAGCTGAGTGCACATTTATGAGATTTAGCTGAAATGAATCTATTATGTGTTACCTAATGTCCCTACATCTTTCAGCCTCTTGAAGCCAACTGTTTCTTTGATACATGAGCCTCCATACCAAGTAATTGATGGAAGACCAATGGCTTCCTCACTATTCTAGGGACTCTTCCGTGTGTGCATAGTATATCTGCCTAATACATGGTATTATCTACGCTTCTGACTCTGAACTCCAGATCACGGCCCCCACACATGTTGCTGTTTTCTGTGTGCACTGCCATTCTCTACTCCTCACACTTCATCCGAAGCACAGACAGAACATCTTGTAGACATTTTTAAAACCACCACTAACCCATTCAGTTTATCCATTTTTACAGCACCGAAAAAAATCAGCTTAGTTTACTGTTGGAATTTCTACAATGTATGGAGATTTTCTAAAATGTAGGGGGCTAATGAACTAGAGTTGCAGACAGAAGGAATAAGCCACTTGCTCCTGCCTATTAGCCTCAGATGTCATCATTTCTAAGTCACGGGGATTCCCTTCATGAGAGCTGCCTATCTTCTGAGGGCCTGGCCTTGTACCTTGGGATTGATTCCTGCTCTCACTGTCTCCATTAGGTCTTTCTGTGACATCTCTTTCCTCCAAATTCAGGGACTTTTCTAAATATTTTCTCCCTTGAGCTACCAAAATAAAATAGAAAATGGATTTTCAAAAACAGAATAATTTAGCTTACTTTGTCTCCTCTTAGTACCCAAGCACCTTATATTTCATATCTAAAAGTCCCATTTCATGTTTTCTCAAACAAAAGAGACGCATATGTTGGATAGGATTCATCAGAGATTGAAAGAAACCTATGCAGACCATCTTCCACCTTGAAAAATGAAATCTGTCCAGTCATTAGTGCAGTGGATCAGCAAAATAGCCTATGAGATGGCTGAATAATCAATCCTTGTGGATTAGATTATGACAGAGGGGAAGACAGTTGACCTAGTCCTGAGGTGGGTTAAAGTGAAGATATACTGTTGTCCTCATGAGGGGAAATCAAAGATCTTCACTCTATTTTTTTCCTAATGGCATATAGAAAAAACATTAGCCTGATCAATATCTATATAATGATCTCAGTGATATGTTAACTAGTTTCAAAAAAAAAGAGACCACATCTGCATAGTGGCTACAATTAGAGTTACTTCTTAATTATGTTTGTAATCCATCATCTTTCTTCAAGGCCATCTATTTTCAGCCTGGTAAAATAGTTAAATGTGGGTATCACAAGAAATTTACATCTGCACACCTCCAGTCTTTTTTTGGTGGCACTAATTTGTGTCATTCCCAATTTAGTTCACTATTTGGAGGAAGGAGGCGGTTCAAGGGGCTAAGAAGCATCCCTTTCTAATATCTCATGTGTTAAAAAATAAATATGGATATTCTGGCATTGGCAGAGTATATTTTTGCCCACTGTGTACATTAGAAAAGTGAGGAAATCATCTCATTTTATAAAATGCACAGTCACCCTGGTTGATGACCGCAGGTTCCTTTGAGGAATCTCTAGGGTTGTTTAGAATTTATTATTATGGCAAAGATAAAGAAGTACAGGGTACTTCTTCAAAGGAACCTAGCATACTTTTCATTCCAGGGCTCTGAATCTGGAAATTAGTAAGAGGCCATACATAATTCTTTATTGTGCCCAAACTCTAATAATGGGAGCTATGATGTTTCGAATTATGAAAACCAAGTAGCTAATAGGCAGCACTTCCATTCAGTACAGGAGATGCTATGATCTATTAGCCATCACCAATGACTCCTGAGACATAAGCCATTTTGGTCCCTGCTTTAACCTGCTGCCCGCATTGGAAATGATGCCCACCTTGTTTCTGGCTTTCACACTAAAGTGCAGTCACTTGTTTTCTGCCACTCTCCACAATCCTATTATCCTCACTGAATTTTGAAAGCCCATTTCAATGGGGTTAACTTCCTGTAGTTGACCTTGACCACCTCAGTGTATTTCCCAGTGCCTTGGTGGAGGGAGGTGTTCTGGGCCGTCCCAGGTAACATAGTGAGGGGTAAAGCAGGTCACAGATGACACATCAACACTAGACTTCTGTCTTTTTTCATGTACTTTCCACTACATTATTTCCTGGAAGTTCTGACACCTCAATTTTACTTAGCCTTGACCATCATGGAGTCCAGGTTTCAGTCTACTGAACACCTAATCTGGTGAGCCACAACCATACACTCAAGTATCACACATTTTGAATACAGAATGTCTGAAAAGTGCAGTTACATTAATAAATGTAGCTTAATGCAAGCCTTTTTTTTTCCTCCCTGGCCTAGGATCCTTAAAATCCAGTCCTATCATTCCTTGCCAAGTTTCTGCAAACATAAATTAGCAAAATCATTCAATTCTTTCTATGTGTAAACCATCTCCTCCCAAGTCGGTCTTTGTATCCATCCTCCTGTGATTTGATTCTAGAAATGGGTCTGGCAGAAAGACAAGGTGATGGAGCAAATCTTGTGAATCAGTAACACCAAGGAAGGTAAATGCCTGAAGTATGAGCCTTACAGATGCTTCATATGGGTCAAGAAGGGTTTCTTCTACTTTCAAGGAGGGTCAGTGAAATTTGGAGGTTCAGATCCATCAGGATCCACCCCAAAGTCCCTACTTTTTCTCAATAAATTCCTCAACTTTTAAATAAGATACCAAGAAAGACTATGAATTAAATGTGCTTTGTAATTCTGCAACATGCAACATCAGACTTTTAGTCTAGTTTTCAAATACATTGGTCTCATATTTGGCTATGAAAGTAAGATACATTTTGGGAAGTTCTTTTGCTTCTTATCTTGTCTTGAGCTCAAAATTTAGAACCCTGAGTTTTTTAAGCCATCTTTGTTAGAAAGAAGTGGTGCAGTTAGAAATAGTCTACCTCAGAGTCCTCGTGGTTATTTATAATAGAATGTTTTATTAT